TGTTCTCTTTCCGATTTCTCAAATATTGAACATCTTCTCTTGAGTGTATTCGCTGAGAAACAGTCTTTGGGATGAATAAAAAGTTTTAAAACTTTCACAAAATTGTTCAGACATCTTTGTACTATCATTCAGAAGTGCATGTTGAACTAACCGTAAATTTAATATGCTGTTCAACGAAAGGTCTTCTGTCAAGAATAAAAATTCTGCTACTGCTAATAGAATAGAAAAATGAAATTCTGGATATTCTAGTTCTCGTATTTCAAAAAACGTGGACAGAAATCTAGAAGATATATTTGAAAAAGAATGTAGAATGATTTGAATCAAAATAAAATATTTTACCGGCAGTTAGAAGGTATTGATTTGACTTCTGTTACATTATACAAAAAGAAAGAAAAGATGACTTATAGAGGTATGAATGTGAATTTTAATGTCGTACCGTAGTGCTTACGTTCTTTTTGTTTTTAAGAAAAAACATACTAGGCCGTGTACCGCTACAGTAAACTTTAAAATAATTAGAAAATCAGGATATAATATTGATTGTAGCGATTCCACCGTGTAGATGGAAAAAGTAACGAACTATGAGAAATCAAATTAATACTAGAACTCGCTAGGTTATGAATTCTAAACTCTGCTGGTGATAACACTCGTAAATAACGCTTTATGATACATGAAAGCCATAGTAAACCAGCATCTACGTCTACTGTAACTAATATGAAATAGGATTATCATTTTTTATTGTATTTGATCACAAAAGACTAACAAGTATAAACTGAAACCAATGCACAATCAGCGAAACTATTAACGAATCGAAATCTACGTATAGTTTTTCATGATTTTCTGAAAATATTGATATGTAGCATTTCTTAAGTTGCTTCCAGAACAAAAAACGAAATTTGAAAAGATAATGGAGATGTCACAGTTTTTTCGACATTCCTCCTGAGACCTGTGCAGAATTATGCCAAATATAACTGAGCAGAAATCCTCTTTTAATGAAGATATACTTTTTTTTTGATACATGACGTTGGATACCTGTCGTACATATATCCAGTTCAATCTGATGGTAAACAATGTTTAAACATTTCTATTAGTGTTATACGATTAGGCACCTTGTATTTAGAAGCACTGATGAAACGATACTCTGAATAAAAAGTCCTCAAAAAAAATTAAATAAACTGCAACCTTCGATAAATTGAAAATATGTGCATTGTACCAAAAAAAGGAAATTTTCACCTTGAATGGATCTCATAGAGAGCTTTAAGTTGTACAACGTTTCAAGACAGCTTGAGCAAAATTCATAAGCAGCAATTGTCTTTAGGTTACTTTAACTTCTTATTCATCTATCTATGCTCGAAGTAACAGATCAAAAAGTGACAGAACACATCAAGAACGAGGTTCACTCCCTATGACGACACTTATCATCATTTTGAGTTTTAAAAGAAAATCTAAATCTTTCCAAGTTTCAGGTGTTTACGAAATATTTTTTGGGTAATAGAATTCATGAAACAGCAGGATCGGTAGAGAACTTTTTCTCGGTGCATCATGATTATTTTGGTTTATGTTTTCCTCATATCTCTCTATTTTTTCTATCACACCACTTCTTTTTCATACTGTGCGGCTGCTATGTCAAGAAGGTATGCTTACCGCGAGCAGTTTTGCGATTACGCCATTTTTCAATGAGAATGAAAATAAGCATTCCAATCCATGGTACAACTATTCGAAGACCTTGATTGAGACCACCACACACTGAAATGAATAATAGCACGGCACTAGTGATATTACGTACGCCGTTTATTGTGTATGAACAGCTTATTGGTGCACATTCGCTGTAGTACACATCAAAGTGCTGGTCACTGATGGTGACATTCTCTAGGAGCATTTCATTGAGCAAATCGCTTGAAAATTTATTATAGAATCGAGTTGGTACTGATTGATTCAGTGGTTTGAGGATCGGTGGAGGTCGAGAATCAATTAAAATTGCATATGTCGCTTGAATATTTTCAAGATAATCTCTGTCATACCACCAATTGATACCTGATGCTAAAAACCCTAGCAATGGTATACAACCTACACATATATCTTGAAAAACTTGCACGAAATCAAACAGGTCTGATCCATTTGTATAAACAATAGGTCTTATAAGGCACTGGCGCATTGTTCCACACGAACATTGTGCACCAAACAAAAATGATGTATGCGTTATTACTGCGTATGGATACAGAAGTACATCATTGATACTTATTGTACTATCATTGTTCATTTTAATTTGACAATTGAGGTTTGCTCCAGTTACAAATTGGTTGATTCTACCAGTTATATTAGCCACATTTAACATTTCTCCAAAATTATGGTGTGTTTCAGAAATAAATGATGTGGTCACAGCTTTATTCTGTTGATCGAAAATTGATCGAGAGAGAAGATGTTCGTTGACCAATGGTGTATTAGTAAAACTCTGTTGACTTTCTTGAATATTCATCTGTGCCAAAGAACAAAAGTTAGATAAAATTTGAAAATATGACATGCCGATCGTACGGAAGTCACGTGAAAAGTCTGTCTCTGTCCAATAGGGTATACGACTAGGATGAAACAAGTAAAGATAGTTCAACCAATCCGGTGATATTAGATCGCTCGAGCATACTTGATGTAAGATAAACGATACATTTAAAAATTTTCCATAGGATATAGATAGTTGTGTACAAGGACATTGAGTGGTTGCCGTATACTTATCAACTAAGTTCGTATAGGTTTTTAAAGAAGGGTATATTAT